GAGGAGCAGCTGAGTGCCCCTAACCCAGCTAGGGGCCTGTGGGGGCTCGGAGGTGCTGGGGAAGTCCCCACCTCCATCCAGATGTTTGCAGCTGCAGGCAGCACCCAAGGAGTTTGGTGCCAGCTGGGCTCTGACTCTGCTGCTGCCAGGCTGGGCTCTTTCAGTTCATCTTCTGTGCCAGGAAACCCCAGAAAAGTCCCCTGTGCCTTCCTGTCCCCAAATGTCACCTTGGGCAGGGGTGCCTGCAGCACTCTGGGTAGGGGGCCTGGAAGTGTCCCCATTTTCAGGATAAAATCATTGCAAAGCTTTAATTACTACTGTTAATCAATATTGCTGTTTGGAATTTAATAACTATTGATGAATCCTTGCCCTGAATGTGGCAGGGAGAGTTGGGAGAGCCCAGGGAAGCCCCCCAAGGAGTGGAAGGGAAGGGAAGTGAGCATTCCCTCATGGCCACACTGCTCCTGCCCTGCTGGCTTTGGCTGGATGATGTCAATGAAATCCACCCCTGGAGTGTCCCAGGCCAGCTTGGACACTGGGACACTCTGGGGTGGGGGAGGTGGCCCCACCCATGGATGGGGTGGAACGAGCTGAGCTTTAAGGTGCAACCAACCCATCCCATTCTGGGAGTCCACTATTAATACCATTAATATTATTTATTAATATTATAAATAATACTATAAATACTAATGACAACAATCAGTATAATTAATATTATTAATAACAGCTGTGGAGAGGATTGAAGGTCACAGAGGTGTCTCTGGTGGGATGTGTGGAGTTATTTAATTGCTATCATCACTTTTCCTTCCTCTCTTTGTGCAGGCAGCCTGTGGGATGGATGGATTATGGAGGGATGGGTGCATCCATGGATGGATGCAGGGAGGGATGGATGGATGTCTGGATCCATGGATGAGGGGATGGATGGATGGATGAGAGGATGATAGATGGATTAATGGATGGATGAATGGATGGATGTGGGATGATGGATGGATTAATGGAT